TGCTTTCCTTCAGTACAGCCCCCCTGGGCACTGCTGTGCCACCGTGCAGGCTGAGCACAGGACCCAGCCCGATGCCCTGGTGGTTTCCCTGTCTCCCTGCTTCTCCACTAAACTTGACAGAAAACCATGAGTGATAGCAGGGAGTTGGGGGGCAGTTGTTTATTTTAAAGAAATAAAACTGTTTATCATCTTAACATTTTGGATTTCACCAGGTTTTACCAGGGTAGCCCACAGGTTTGGGAGCCAGGACACATAGTGGGCTCTGCATTTCCAACTCCTCTAACACAAAGGTCCTGGTATTTTCTAAGTCACTAAATTTTGCAGGTCCTTTTCATCTGGGAAAAGCAGAAGCTTGTGTAACAGTCTGGTCAATACAGCCTCGTTTCTTTATGTAACAGTGGGTATGCAACTACCACAAAACCACTTAACGATCTGCAGCTAATTCCCTGCTTTGTTCTTCATCCTTATCTAATAGCCTTTGCTTGCCAAAACACACCTCACATCTCCCTGCCCCCCTCATGAAAAAATGCCTGCTTTGTTTACCTAAGAAACTGGTGATACTGACTACGGCCCATATTGGGTCTAGAGCTCTCTCTAAGCACCAAATTCCAGTATCAGGCCTTAGGGACATGTCAAAGTAATAGAGTCACAAATAGCTCTGTATTTCTTCAATAATGCGCATGCAACCTCTGAGGAACAGCTGAAAGTCTTCAGAAGCAGAAAAGCAAGCAAGAAAATGGAGGAAGATGAAACAGAGCTAAATGAATCCTCCTTTAGGTTTCTGAGGGCAGAGAGCAGCACTGTATTTCAAATGAGGTCTACAGAGAAAGAGGGAAGCACATAGGATTAGCTATAAATTTCACAGTTATTCTGAGCTGCTGTAATCTGCTGTTTGACCTATGCCTCCTCCTTCTGCCTTATGAGGTTTAAGTAGTATTCTCAAAGACAGGGGGTGGGGAGGGAAGGTGGCTTAATGTCCTAAGCTCTAGGTTTGAAATACCTAGACCGTCTATATTTGCACACTTGTTAATTCTGGTAAACCCTGTTGCGCTATTCTCCTGGTGTCAGGTTGAGTTTAAAGATTGTTCAGGAGCAAGTTGGAAAACAAGACATTGCTTATTTTGTATAGACTTTTGGCAGAGTCATCTGTAGTCCAGGTAAGAGGATGAGTTCACTCATTGAAGGGTTTTTCAGGGACAGAAATCTGCCCTTTCCACACACACAGCAGTGATGTGCTACAGGAGAAGGCTGGTTCACTATCCCAGTAACACTGCAGCAACACGGGTAGGAAATCACATTCAGGTAAGAGGCAGGCAGCCAAACCACCGAGTTTCTATCATTCTAGCCCAATCTTGAACTACCATGTCATTTAAGATCAGCTCTGTATTCACATCTGACAAGTCAATTATTTTTAATCTGTATTAAAATAGTTTGAAGCTGTGAGAGTTTTTTAAGGACCTGTGAAGATTAGCAACACTATTCTGGGAACCAAAAGATAATGCCCTCCTACAGCTCCGGGGCTGGGGTATTAATTGCTGTTGTGTAACCCTGCGGTCTCTCACTGACCGGCTTTGCCCTCGCAGGAGAGGCATCCCCATCCTCACCGAACAAAAGTGAGCAGCCTCCAGCAACTGCACATAGACTTGACATTCTAAAGCAAAAACTTCTTGTAAAAAGATGAAATTAAATGGCTTTCTCCTCAGGAGATCTGATAACTAATGAACAACTGAAATGGGGCCTGGAGCCTGGGCCCTAGGCAGAGGCAGTGAGGGCTGGTGGTACTCTCAGGGTACCACTGAGGATCAGTTTTATATCATCAGCACATTCTCCGTCCAATTTTGGAGCCTTCTTTTGTCCTCATTTTGTGAATCAAACAGTTCTAAGTGGCTTTAAAAAAAAATCACTCATCATGAAAGCAAAACAAGTTACAGAAAACACAGCATCAAAGGGCACAAACACATGCACAATCATAATGCATCCTTAAGTTTCCAGTTCATCTGATCAAGCCATTAAGAGACTAAACAAAAGGGTATTTTTTGGTAAGTCTACCATGCTAAGCAGAAAGTCCAGAAGACTCTGGGGTATGTAAAAGAAGTTTTGAACCCATTTTTCTGGTGTGTCTCCAGCCCAGTCCTCAGAACCGCATTAGGAAACTGCTGTTCCCCTATGGCACAGCGCATGGCCAGCATCATAAAGACGCAGGAAATAAGCCTTCACAAACAAGAAATGCATCCGCCACTCAAATCTGTCCCATAGCCTAAACTGCCAAATAAGCAGGTTGCACCAACATTAACTCCATTTAATAGAAATATTAGAAATTTGCCCTTTGAAATAACAGAGTAAAGCACCAGTGGGAAATTATTTATATATTGCACCACTGGAATTATTATGTTGTTAGAGGGGGTTTTTTTCCTTTTATTTTATTATTATTTCTTTTATTATTTTTATGGTAGCCCTTTGCTTGGTATTACTGACTTCCTAATGAGCAACAGACACTTTACTGTGTGCACTGCACAGAGTGAAGTTTTAAAGAGCGCGGAGACATGTAAGGACCTGCCTAGATACTTATATTGTGAATTGTTATAGAGCAGCAGATGGGTAAATCAGCACAGTAGTATTTTTTTAATAACTTCATAACATATTTATTGTATTATTTGTTGTACTCACAAAATCACAGGATGATCTTTATAGGTTACCGTTACGATCTTTTCATTATTTAATGTACTGTTCTGAGGCTTTTGGATGCCACTGTAAAATGCATAGTATTTCTCTCTGTGAAAGCTCTGGATATGTGTAACAAGATTGTCATAGCTTTCTGCATCACATAAATGTCTTCTTCTCTACCTATGATGTATGGTTTTCGGTGTAGAAAGGAAAAAGAGCGCATTTCTCATCAACCTTTTTGTGCAATGCTTCTGGTTCCACATCATGTAGATAAGCAAGTCTGCCTTCTCAGTATTTACATTCCTGATGCACTGGCTGCTGAGGTTAGCATGTCACTGGTGGTCATTGCGTGTCTACAGAATGTGGCTGGGGCTTTACTGACAAATACAGTTTCTTTCAGGTGTTCTTCAGAGGTGGGGTTTTTTGACCTTGGCCTTCAGTCCCTTCCTGCTTGGGGCAGGTCAAATGATGCACCATATCAGAATTACATACCCGAACACATTAAGCTGCTAATTACATTTTCCAAACTTCTGATATTTTGTCACAGCAACAACAGTGACACAAAGACACAGGAAGAAAGCAAACAAAATACTATTTTTCAAAATCCAAAGTGAAATGTTTGGGAGGAAGAAGAAAATTAATCTCGTCGTGGACATTCACCAAGCCTAAAATTAATCTTCCGTTTCAATAAATAGTATAAAATGCAATAAAAAAGCAGCAATGTGAATGCTTAATAGATCTATCAAATCAGTTTATAGAAATGTAATCAGCAGAGTAAACCTTGCCCTCCAGTAAAATGCTTGATGAGATGCTTCTTGAAATAATACTTGCAAAACTAAAATTCAAGCTGGTGTGCCAAAAAAGAAGTATAAAGTTTGTGGTACATGATGTGTCATTTTTTGGTAAAGCATCTGCTTTTAATATTGGGCCTAATCTTATTTGAAAACTACATGCAGTTACTGCCAAATTTCATTTAATTCTGAACAGTGGTTGAATGGTGACTGCCTTTGCCAGGTTTGCTGTGATTGCAATTACAGTAAATCCAGCAACCAGAACAGAACCTGCACAAAGAGCCTGCATAAAGTTATGTGCACCACATTTCTGCATGTACATTGAATCCATTGTGTTTAAAACACTGGATTTACCTCTTAGGTGCTACTTTGCCAAACAGACTCCCAGAGAAATCAAAACAAGCACTACAAGTAAGTCAATGAGTTGCACCACACCTTTAAAGGACTTTTCTTCCTTTAGTCTAGTACAGCCTTGAAGGCAGATTAATGCCTGCTGGTTGCAAAACCTCAAATGGCAAGATGTCTGTCGATGTATAAGAACAAAAATAAGTAACATGATAAACCTACTAGATACTCATCCAACCTCCTCTTCTCAGTCAAAGGTCATCTGAAACTGATGACAGTATTTCCAAGGTTTTTCAAGTGACTGGATTCTGACCAATGTAAAGATCACAAGATTAAATTTACCAGCTGTTAATTCTTTCTATATGCACATGAGAAACAGTTGGAGCAAGTACTTTTCAAATTCAGCAACTGTTTCTTCCATCCTCACCACATTTTTACAGAAACAGAGGAACTGTCACAGTGGCTTAGACCACCCGAGAAGGAAGGCTGGTCCTTGGCAGTTTTCCATCACTAGAGAGAGAAGGAAGCAGAAAATGTGCAATTAAATTGATCTGAAAAGTTCTTTCCTTATCAGTACTCCCTAATTCTCACTATTTTGAAACTAATTTATGACTTGAAGGCTTTATGTCCAATGCAAAATGTATTTGTCAAAGAGACCTGATGTTTACATGAAAAAACCACAGTATCTGGAGTTCATGCCAGGTTATTGGTTACCATGTGGAACACTTACTACATGATCTCTCAGATGAGAGCAGGCCTGTTGCACTGGAAATCATTCATAGCTCTGCAATACCCATATGAATATAAGCAACTCCACTGTAGACATCTCATTGGTACCAAACCAGACACCCTAGACTTCCCTTTTCCACATGTGGAAGTCTACCACAAAATTGTTTCTCTTCTCCTCAGAAAACATCAGCAACAATTGCTCAGAACAGATTTGCCCCTAATGCCTACTGCCCCCAGCTTTCAGAGGAGAACAAAACCATCTGTACTAACACCCCTTCCTATAGTGCTTCCAGTTGATAGCATATTTTTTAAACACCACAGGAGTCTTCTATGTTAAGGTGCTTTATAAATTGGTGTGTATTATAGCATATTCAATGACCTGTTGTTGTGAAATTGCCAGAATGAACAGAAAACCAATGTTGTTAAATAGGTGTTTGATGGTTGTCTTTTTTTTTTCTCTCTCTCTCTTAGGATGGATTTATAGACTTCTTGGAGTTCATAGCTGCAATAAATTTGGTTATACGAGGGAAAATTGACCAAAAGTTGAAATGGTATTTTAAGCTGTATGATGCTGACGGAAACGGATGCATTGACAAAAAAGAACTATTAAGCATATTCGCGGTAAGCAAGTTATGACCAATAGCAAGAGCATTTGACATAGTGTATTGCCCCTGAAAAAGTGGTTTCATCATGTGTTGTAAATGGATTGTCTGTATTTTACCTAATGTTTCACAGCTGTAAAACCAGAATTGTTCTGGCTAGTGACACTCCTGCCATTAGTTTCTTGCTTAATGAAGTAAACATATCAAAGTAGTATTTTACTTTCAACCATAGTTCTACAGATATGTTTTACTGAAAATGAAAAACTCTAGAAACATTAGAGACATTATTATGATAAACTATGCTATAAGACAGGGTAGAACTGAAGCAGTATAATGAATAAACCAGCTGTTTGCAAGTTCTTGTGCCAGTCTGTTGTGGAAAACTGGCTTCTCAGACTGAACTTGCTGCAAGAAACAATATAGGTGTCATCAAAATATTCCAATATTTTAATTTTTTGAAAGGTTTTTAGATTTCTTTACTGCAAATGCCACTACTCCTATTTTAAAATTTAATTGGGAAAATTTAATTTTATCATTAAATCATGCAGTGACATTTGGATATAAATATTGTAGAACATTTTTCAGAAAATGGGTCCATTTCAAACCCATAAAACCAAAGCAGTGTAATTCTTTCTCTAAAATGATTTCTGTATTTTTCAACTTGCTCTAGTGAAATATTTTGCACTTCAGTAGCTTTTTTCATCCAAAAGGTATGATAGGGTTCCTTGCAAAAATTAATGACTTAATATTGCTTCCTAAATGTACAAGACTCGTTACAGATCAAGGTTTTGCTGCAGGGAGCATAAAATCTAAATATGAATTTAAAGTCATAATAAACAAGGAATGTACTGTGCCTGGATTGTGTATTACTGCTGGTGCCTGGCTGGTCACTTTCAGAGACTTTCAAGGGCTGCTGCCCAGTTTAAAAGGAACTGGAAGCAGATAGAGCCATGAGGGTCAAACAAATAAAGCTGATGCATCACCTTCTAAAGAGCAGCTTTCTAAAGGTAGAAGGAGAGGCTGCATCTCTCAGATTTCTTCTGGTTTAAGACTAATGACATCATTCTTTTCCAGATATTCTCCATTTTTTTTCAGCCAGAGGCAATGAGACAACTGTGTTTAGTCTTGGGCTTTATCCAAAAAGAGAATTAAAATCCTTTTAATGTAAAGAAGATTTCTTTTTCAATGTACCTGGTTTAAAAATCAGTTTAAATCTATGTGTGTTTTCTTCTCTTTTGCAGTATGAGAACTTTAGCTTAAACTTGCCTAAGTCATTTGATCTAGGCTAGACTAAAAGCGGTGGACTCTAAACAAATATTAAAACACAGGCTCACAGCCATTAAGGGCCCTGTTTATACTAAGCATCAGTAAACCAGGGCTTGTCCGAAAAGATATCTCGTATCTGAGACACTAATTTAAAACATAGAAGCCCTATGAAAACTTCATCTGTCCCTACAGCTACACAAACTTTGGACCAGCAGGTCATTATCAACCAACAATATTCCTTCCAGACAATCATGAACCCTGTCAGTGCCTTTAAACAGCCTAGTTATTGTATTTTATTATTTAAGGTGATTCTGTGGTAGACAGTGATTCAAGTACTTCAGGAATCACTGTTTTACTCTTAGCACTAAAACAAATTTAACTGTGGCAGAGCTACAGCCTTCTTCTGAAGACTGCATGAGGGTCAGACATATAGAATTCCAGAAGTACCTAAAGTATGAATCAGTAATAATACAAACAAGTTTATGTATCTGTTTCTGTAAAATTCTTGCAGCCTTTTTGAACTTATTTGCACAGAGTAAGTTAAAGACAGAGATGGTCAAGAACTCCACGTCAGTGCTGAATAGGTTTAACATACTTTTTATTTAAATATAGTGAGATCTAGAGCAATATCAGGAATACTGAAGGAAACAACTGGCACATGCAGTGAATTATGCACACAGTTAATCTCAAAATAATTCAGATGTAGAAAAACAAATTCTATAGTATGTCCATTATAGAACATACATGCACGTGTGCTTATACATATATCAGTATGCACTTTCCCAGTCACTTACTAATTGTGAAATTGAGTTTGAGTCTTAATTCTGTAAATACATGCTTGTTGCTTCTGGACCACTGGCTATTAACATATAGGCTCCTATTTTATTAACCTGAATGATCACCATATTACAAAAAATACTGTCTCAGTGAATGGGATATAGTTTTGCAAAAATATTCATATGTACTTTTACTGCAAATATTGGGTCCTTTTGCCACAGAAAAAGTAGAGGGACAACTTCTGTTTTTCATCATTTCTTTGAAAGACAAGTAAATTCTGCCAACTTCCTGGACAACTGGTCTGACTTTATTTGTGATTAGTAAGTTAAACATGTCTTAATAGAAAAATTACTTCAACTTTCTCCTCATGTGCTTTCAGCTGTGAAAAATAACACTGTATTTAAATCGCACAGGCCACAGGGCACTCTCTGAAGACACAGAACTCTCTAGGGCAAGATAAAAATGCTGGTGTGGAATCTAAAGTGTATTGCAGAGCAGAGGTGCCACAAGGTTTCAGAAGACCTTCAGAGATATGTAAATTAGTCTGTAATCTTCAGGCTGTGTTATGTTAATTAAATTTCCAGTCCTCATTACTGAAGATTTACTTGAAATAGCTATTTATTCAATGATTTTTGAAAGGGTTGGTGAACTAAAGAGTTGGATCGCAATTACTGCAATTGCCAGTGTATTGTTTTCACAACTTAATGGAAAAAAAGAGTCTGAAAGAACTTTCTGCATTTCTGCCTTCAGGCTATCCAGGCTATTAATGGCCAAACCAACATGACTGCTGAAGAGTTCACAAACATGATATTTCAGAAGATAGATGTGAACAATGATGGTAAGAATCTAAGTTTTCTTGGCATTGGCAAGGATTTTCCGCCATAAGGAAGTATGGGATCAAGAGGGGAGTTGAAGACGCTACTGAAGAACTGACTGTTTTAGATTAACTGAAAGCCTGAATCTGTTCTTCTTTACCTATATAATTTCAGTTTTACAGTTAAGCATAAATCAACTGACCCTAATGGCTGGCACAGGAATTATATGCAGTAGGAGGTCTTAACACTGTATGTCCAAAATGCCAGTACTCTGGTTGCACAGAAAAATGAAAGCATGATCAAGGGGGTTTTTTTGTATATTTGTGCTGGCCTAATCTACCAAACATGGATAAGAAAACTAATTAAGATGTATGGTTGCACAGGCTCTAGCATGATCTAAAGATTGGCCAGCATATTGTATGCTCCTTGAAGGCTGATCATTAACACCTACTAAAATACATGCTACTGGTTTTTTTTCTCAGGATAGAATTTCTTAATTAAGCCAATTGGACTTGCATTTGGAAACTAAAATTTTAATCCACTGCTTCAGAGTTGTTTCTAATAGAAAACTTGTCACATGTGCATGTCGTCCGTCATACTTCTAATCATGCAAATACTCCTTCCAATCGAAATTACATTTTACTTTAATTACTGAAATCAATGACAAATTAGGAATATTAGGAAAGCATTGCAGAGCAAAACCAGATACTAGCAAAGAATTATGGGCAATTTTTTGCTTGTTTTTCTAAGGTCTTACTTGGTGTGTTAAAGTTACTTTAAAAAAATGTTTGCAATATATGAACAGAGTATAAACACTGGTCTTGTGATGCATATGAATAACTCATAGAGGATTTTTCCCCCACCTACTTCGAGTGAAGACAAATTATCAATGGACAAATAACTTCTGTGTCTTACATTTTAGCAATGAAATGCCAGAACACAAATTATTCAGAATTATCTTCATAATACTCCCATTTCAAACTGCTTTTCATAGTTAAAATAGCTGCAAAGCAGCAGGACTAGCTCAACCTGAGGAATGGGATAAAATCTACCAAGTTTAGGTTAAAGTATGCTACCTCCTTGAAGCTTCTTATTAAAGAAAAGCACAAATAGATAAGTAAGTTGCAATGTCCTTCCTCACATTAAAATACAAGAAATAATCCCATGGTTTTAGGAAGCAATTCTTAACACAAATTTCCTGATAGAAAGAGAAGGTGCAAGCATCCTCAGGGCACTTGCACGTCAGCCCTGGAGAGGGTCTTCCTCCTCTTACTGAAGTCTAAGAGCCAGGACTTCTGTCAAGTTATATCTTTCCAGTTTAACAGTGTGTACATGAGCCTGCTCACCAGCAGTGAGGACCCACATGACTAAAACGAAAGCAATCTTTACCGCCCATGGGTAGAAAGTGGTTTTCACATTTTTCAAATGCTGAGCATTTTCCTTTTTCACATCAGATGAAGTTTCCAAGGTTGCCATGAACAAAAAGCAAAACACAAAAAAAATCCCAAACCTCTGGTGAGAACTTAAATCAAAAAAATAGCCAAAGTCACCCAGCTAAACATTCACCAGAAGTGCACAAAACTTGAACTGCTGCTCTGCTGCACCCTGGGGCCCTAGGTCATCCAGATATCTTCCTCTTAGCCTGGTCTCTTGCCAGTTCTTATGTCAGTGAGAAATTATTCATTGTTGTGATTTTAACAACAAACTTTAAACTGTTCTCAGAGGAGAAAATCAAGCTCTTCCTATTCAACCAAGCTCTGTTTCTCCTTTCAGAGAAAAACAGCATCACTGGAATAACTCCTAACCAGAGAACCGTGTACGCTTCTGTGTACCATGCAGACACATGCCTAGAACTGGTCTTTGCCTTTGTTGACAGGGAAGAGAGCAGGAAAAGAGGAAGAATGCTAAACACTATTCCTGCTCCTCAATAAAAGAGATTTTATAACTGTCTCACAAATTCCAAGGTATTACCTGATTTTGACATGAGCCAAAAAAACCCACACTCTGAATGATCATTTCAGTTGCTTGGAGGAGTTTATCTAATCAAACCACTTAACCGATTGGTTTTTACTACATCTTATCATGGCTCTAAATAATCCTAGTAGTCAACACAGGGTGTATGCCTGTTAATCCTCAGCATCATGCCCTAATCTCTGTTAAAACCAGTTATAAAATAAATTCCAGTTAACTCAGAGAGAATTGGTACACACATCTAAATTTAGCCTTGATACAGGCTTCGTTAGTGCCCCTTTTCACACATTTCTGTCACCACGGACACTGAGCACTCATAGCTGTCTTAGACTTCTGTGAAAGGTGTGTTTGACCGCTTTTAATAGAAAAAAAGCAAGTCGGAGTTCTAGGGTCCATAAAGTGGGAAAACATTAGAAAATATTCTGCCTGCACTTGTCTATCAGCAGAGAACTGGGAACTGTCCAGAGGGATTCACTGTGGCATGAATGGCCTTGTTGTTGGGCTCAGAGTGATCGCTGGGTTTCTCGGTTCCTAAAGAGTGCCTGATTTCCTTTTAGGGGAACTGACTTTAGAAGAATTTATAAATGGTGTTGAAAAAGACGAGGACCTAATGGAATTGATTACGAAAAGTTTTGACCTTTCCAACGTAATCAAAGTCATACAGAGCGGCAGGAGACACAGCATCTGAAGGATCCAGTGATGGATGTGGCACCTGTGTCATCATTTCAAGGAAGATAATATTTGATACATTCAGGGAGCTTGATGTCGTCGAAGCCTGCCGACGCAACATTGAGCAATCTGCTCCAGGAGTAACAATTTTCACTCCTGACTCCGTATATTTCCTTTCCTTTTCTTTTTTCTTTCCCTCACTAATGACTGAGGCAGTCACAGAACACAACCTTTGCGCACGTATAACAGAAAAGCTGTTTGATGGAGTACGAATAACTTATTTGCTCTCTATGAACTGTTCAGAGTAATCAATGAAAATATTGCAAAATGCAACCTTTCTAGAAGATATAGAGTTAATAAATGTCTTCTTTTAAGTACAGGCTCTTTAGCCTACTACCTAAAGTGTGGACATAAACTTCTAGGTAGGACTGGGTTCTGTCTGGATCAATTAAAAATGATGCCTGGCTTGCATTGACTTAACATTTGCTCTAATAGGTACTCAAAATTGGAGTATGTTCTCTGGGAAACACCACAGACAACTTAATATTCCTGAGATGTGCATTCTCTTTAACAAGCTGTCTACTACTCTTGATCTTGTTACACCTGTAAATTAAATAATGTGATGTTTTCATGGCTTTGGCAGGGTTCAGCTACTCTTCCTTCAAATTAACCTTTTATAGAAGTGCTGGAATGAAATTTTGTTATCTTTGTAGAGTAAAATTAGACGTTCAAAGAACAGTTGTAACCAAATTATTTTGTAAGCACTCTGTTTTCCTAGAGATTTGTGTCCTTTGACTTGTATCTCCTCCTTTTCAAAACAATTCGTTTTCACTGGGCTCTTTGCCACGGCTGCGTGAGATAAAAAGAGAGCAGTATCGCTACTTGCTGATGGGACTGCTGGCTTCTGCCAAACGGACTGTTTAACGGCTGAATTCGTCCTGCCTTTCCCTGACAGGGAGTACTAATTTAGGTATCTTTGCCCTGCCCAGATACCTGGGTGAAAGCTTTTAGCAATTTAGTCTCTTTGAGACTTCTACCTTTTTTCAAACTGGGTTGCAATTGTCTCTGAACATGGTAGATGTTAGGCGTGCAGGGGAAACCATTCGCAGATGGCATGATCATATATACTTCATTTTTTTAGAAAGCTAGGCTAAAAAACTCCATTGTACTTTATAAATAACAAGATTAATTCTACGAGCTAAAACAGAGCTGCATGAACTGTCTGCAAAGGGAAAAGTATAATTCTCTCTGGTTCTGTTGGGATTGATTGTCTTTCAAGTCTGCAACAAGTTTTATCAAATTACTACATTATATCATAAGTTGTCCTTGGCTGACAGTGCCCTGCAGCCATCACACTAATATTGTCAGAAGCATCAGCTTTATGCAAAATAATTTGTGTATGGATCAGTGCAGGTTGAATGAAACAATTGTTTAAACTTCAATATGAAAATGTTTTTCTTCCAAATTCACTTCAGACCTATGTCCATGTGCACAACAAATGTGCTCCATCATCTGCAATTATTATCACAGGTTCTGGTTTGATCAATGGAATATACCAAGAGTATGCAACATGCATCACTTGACATTATAAACAGTTCTGACATTATAGCTCTGACATTTGAATCTTTTATATCCTTTCTAAAACAAAAAAAAGAGAATTATGTATGAGTTTGCTGGTGGTTCAGATTTTAAGTTCTTGTATTTATTCATCATTGACACATTAATATGTCATTGTCAGTATCAGTTTTATCACACTAGAGTTCAAAAAAACCCTTTTCTCAATCTAACTATTTTGCATTTAGATCCTATGAGAGTGGTGTCCTTCAGAATTGGCTTTAAAATATTTAAAATAAAATGGTCTGATCTAAGCAATTTGAGAGTACGGGAACAGCTGTGGTTGGGATTTTTGCTTTTAAACTAGTGAAATTATGGACTTTGAAAAAGGACAACTACCTATGTACACAGAATTTTTTTTTATAAAGGGATTTTAAAAAGAATATTTCCATTTAAACTTTTTTTCTGTTTAAATGTAATTATATGAAGTGAATTATTGATTAAGGATTATTGTATTGTATTAAAAAAATATGTACGTAAGGAAATGCTTAGTGATTTTTTGTTAAACTAAATTTTAAAGGAGTAGCTGACCTGCTCATTTTCCACAATTTAAAAACCATTTAGCAGAAACCTGTGTAATTAAGAAGCAAGTATCTTTGCTGATCAATGTAAACTCTCTGGCACAACACTTCTACAAATATTTACCTCAGTAACTCCACATGTGTCTGGGACTAGTCATAAGATTCTATGTAGATTTTTAGAGGTTGATTAACATCAGTTTCCTTTAACTACTTAAGCACCATTTTATACACAGCTGTTTGAGATAAATGCATTATGGCCACAATTTTGTATTGGTCTCATTCTTCTAAATTTGTCAGCTGCTCATCAAGTGTATCTATCAGCAAAATCAGGTGGCAAGTGTGACTCCCCGAAGTCTTGTTCTAAACCAATACAAAGCTTGTTGTGGTGGAGGTGCTCTGTAGTCTTGAAGGTATTTTGTAAGCTGACCTGACCATCGGAATGCTTATTGCTAGTTTAGTAGACAGCAGAAAAGGAAAAAGCAAGCCTAACATTAGCTCATGTGATGTTAAACCCCTTAGCAAACCAGTGAGTGGTGAAGGGGCAGTGCTGAGCCGCTGACCCTGAGGGCTGCCCGAGCCCACAGGAATGCTTTTTCTTCACAGCCCCGCATGGGGGAGAAAAAACATTACAGCACACGTTCACAGGAAGTGTCTTTGTCAACAAGATTGATGCAGATGCCAGCTGTGAGTGTCTGGAGAAGCTGGGATGCCTGTATCATCATCACAGGGGGGTAGGTTTTAATTAAGATAGATGTGTACTGAGAATAGCTAATGATTTTGTCGCCTATTCACCTTGGAAAATCACAGGTTTCAAATTCACTCTGTGCAGCTGGGTGAGCTTTGCCAATCAATGGGGTAATTGGTAGTTTCTCCTCTAATATAAGCTTTTTACTGTTAGGAAATCCTTATGACTTTGTGTTCTTTCTATTGCATCCAAACAGCTAAAGGTAATTAGTGTGACAGTCCCCTTTTTCAGACAATTCTTAATTGTCCTAAAATTATCTCATTTTCTTTTCTGGTAGCTCAATATGCCAAGAAAATAAAAATGTACTTTTTCTTATGAGAATCTGCGAATTTAAAGCCACAAGCAAATTGCCTTTTCTCATAGATAGGAAATTGTTTAAGCGTTAACAGGCATGATTAAACCTTATGCCATAGTTATGCATCCTTGACAAAGTGGGAGGATGGCTTGCTGTGGCGTGGAAAAGATCTCATTGCCACATTTAATTTTTTCACTTTATGTAAGACTAGCTGTGCCATACAGACCATAACAGATAAATATTCAACTAAATGTTCAAAGCTCGAGTTCCCTGTGTGTAAGGACACATGTCCATTTATTTGATACTGGCTCAAGACTTTCTACATGGAAATTTTTCTAGAGCTCTTCTACAATTATGAAAATTGCTGAAAATATCAGGGATTTTTAAACACCATTTTAAAAACTTTTGGTTAAATACGGTAGAAAATTCCAAAACCAGAAAACACATGTAGCTTTTTACTGTACTTTTTGACCTGCCCTTATTAGAAAGCTGAGGGAAAAAACAGCTCAGGTATGTGTTTTAAATGTGGCAAAATCTAGCTGACTTGAGTTGTAAGAGCTCTGTCTGAAATAACAAATATGATGACCCATCTCTGGCTGGAACAGGCTCTTTTCTCCAGTCCCTGCCCAACCTGTTCGCATCATTGGTGTTTCTACACTAATATCCAGGCTTCGGTGAACTCCTGCTTTATTCTCCAGTAACCAGACAACTTCTTCTGAACTACAGACTAGGAAAGAAGCCACGGCTCAGGTGGTGCATGTAAAAGACAGGAAACTTCTTACTTCTACAGCCTGACTGGGACACATAGCAGAAGACAAAGCTCCAGTTTTGAACAAAGGTATATGGATGAAATTGAAAAGTGATGTGTTTGGACCTGCAGTGATTTTTGCCTTACAGCGGCCATGTGAGAGAAGGTTAAGCCACCAAAGGTAACTTAACTGCCAAAGAAATTAATTCTAAAAGTTTTTGTGTATCAATACTTAATTTTTATTTCCACTTCCTCTGCAGTAGAACTGTACGAGAATTTAAGACAGCTCACCACATGCTTGTTACTGTGCTTACAAACAACACTGTAATGAAATACTTGCTTTTGAGTTGCTGAACCATCAAATACTACTGGCTCTGGTTTGAGTGCCTAGTTGCTTTTAGTAAGGCCTGAACTTCTCACACAATTTAAAGCTCCACTGCTTACAAAAAACTGTAGACTAACCTACATCTCGTGCAGAATATTGGAAGGACTGGGAGAGTGGGTGGGAATGAGCCACCCAAAAAAGAACATAGGGAAAAAGAAGCAGAGGAAGAAACCTGAAGAGGGAGAGGACATAGAGGAGATCAGGCCCCATGAAAGGGACATCATGGTGTGACAACCTCTGGCCCTAAGGGACACGCTCTAGAGGAAAGTCCAAATGTCAAAGTATGGAAAAGAGGAAAAGGAGGAGACTAAGGCCATGAAGAGCTGTGTGCAAGTTGTGACTGTTCTGTGCCTCAGACGATACTTGACAACTCAATTGCTACTACAAGTGCTCAACAAAACCTTAAACACCAAGTATGTAGTACTTCATCTGAGACTCTGTCCCAGCTTTGGCTCTCCTTGCTGCCCTAATGGAATTAGAAAACTTCTCCAACAATGCACTGTTGAAGAGCCCCAAAGAGGTCATGCACACTGCCCTGTATATGCCTATCTCCTGCACAACAGTACAAACCAAAACTGCCTTCTGAGATTGCCCAGTATTCAGAAAGAATTGTATCAGTAAAGTTACAAATAAAGAATCTAAAGTAGCGAAAGTCTACACCAGAAGTGTTTTCTACCTGAGGACAGTGCTGGGGCACTACTGCTATTGCAC